TTTATAATTTTTTTCAAAATAAAGGACGCCTTTTGTCCTTTATTTCTTAAACTGTCCTTTAAATCGGCTCTGCATTTGTCAGAGGTAAATTTTTAAACGCGGAATATTAAAAAATAAAAATGTCCCTTATAAAATATAATGAAAACCTTCGCCAGTTTGTTTCGCACCCCACTTATGGGTTTCTATTTAATCAGTTATCTTTGTACAATCTATAAAGCACAGGGAAAGTTGTGCCCAGGATCGTCTTGCACGCTGAGTTTCCAGTTCCACTGAAAGAGAACAATAAACCTCCTACTGCACATTGATTCAAAACTGGCATTTAGTGTTCGTAATTCCCCGGAGCCTTAATTTTTCACTTCATTTGATTAATTTAATTTTTTTTTATGAAAGCTTACTATATTTGCAATAGACTAGTTGAGCCTGATTTCTGAATTTTTATTTGATTAGCAGTTTTGTAGCAGTTTTGAAGAAAATGTATTCTCCTGTTCCAGTTAATAAATGTTACATAACAGAAACTAGTTGAAACCAATCGTATGGTAAAATCGTAAAATCATTGAGAGGCAGGCTGACGCTTGCCAGCAATATAATTTTAAAACTCGAACTCAAGCTCACACACACATTCTCATTTTTAATCTCAAACCACAACAATCGTGAACAATTTAATTTTTTTTTTTTCAATTTTATATATTTTAAAATGTTTGAAAACGTCAGAAAAAAATCATGGCCGACGAATTGAGATAATGATTTTACCTTCTAGTGTTTTTATCATGGTTCACCCAAAACAAAAAAATACACAAAAAAAATTTTAAATGTTATAAAAAATGTTCACCACAATAATTTTTTTTTTGCTTTTTAGTAAAAAATGGTTGAAAAATTAAGGCTCCGGTGGATTATGACCATTATATTCCAATTTTGAACCACTGTGTGCTGGCTTCGTCGCGCAGTATGAATTATGATAAACGCATTTTGGAAACAAAGGATTGCGAAGTCCTTGAAAAGTATTTGGCTTCATTTTTCGCTATGCAGGGAACTTGTGCAATTAAATAATATATTTCACTGATAAATAATAATAATAGATTGGCGCTTACACATATGTTAGTGTTTGGCCGAGCTTCTCCTCCAACTTGTAGCGTGCGCCTTGATATTGTCACACAAAGCGGAGGGACCTACAGTTTTACGCCGACTCCGAACGGCGATTGTATTTTTATGAGAAGCTGTTTTTCATGGCAGAAATACACTCGGAGGTTTGCCATTGCCTGCCGAGGGACGACCGCTGTTAAGAAAAACCTTTTTCTAAATTTTTTGCGATGTTGCTTTGACCAGGGCTTGAACCCAGGTGCTGGTGAGTGAAAGCGCGCACTGCTTACCACTACACCACAGCGGCCGACTGATAAATATTTGATATAAATTACGATATGGCTGAGGTACTTTTATCATACAAGTTGAATGTACGAATTCCCAAATCATTTTGAAAAAAATGTCCTTTATTTTACGTTGGTTAATATGGTCACCGTACATATAGCCCAACTTAAAAGGTAGGGTAGTTTTTATCTCGATTGAACAAAGGGGTGTGACACCTCCCATACAAACAGAATTTTCCATACTGCATACCTCTGGAAGTATTTGCGGTAGAGAACTGGAACTTGGTATGGGGATATATGAAATCAATACTATGCTCATGGAAAAGGGCCCGTGGCACCTGACATACAGACTAAATTTTTTATAGTACCACCTGTTAAAAAATTGACTTCAATTCAAAGTATTTTATAAGTTAAATGAATTATTACAAAATGGATGTCGATCGAGTCGAGTTGTAAATACTATCGAATGGTGATATTCCTATTTGTCAAGAAAGTCAAATTCAAAGAACTTAGAGCTGACAATTGGCTCGTGTACGAAATATTAAAAATTTATCAAATATGTGATTAGTTTTCTTGAGTGAAGGAAGAGAGTTCACTCATGTATTATTTCTTTTAACTTTTCGGCCGGTGTGGCTCCCCCTATACAACAAATCTCAAACAATGCAAATATACCTAGTAAATTTATACGACACTATCGATAGTTGATTTTTATTTGACTATCGATAGTTATTTATCTCTAAACGATAGTATCGATGGTTTTCTTGAAAATTCCAACACTATATCGAATCGTGTGACTATCGATAGTTTAGCAGCTCTACTTACGATTGCCAGTTTGTGATCGAGTGACAGTTCGAACGAACGAGTACGATCAGTCACTCGTTCACGTGTGTAATCATGCCGAATTTCGATTAAAGTGTACGTTATCATCTGTCATAATCCGATATTCACATTTTTACGCGACGAGTTGCTCATTCACTACTGTGATGATTTGACCCCAGAATACTAAGCTTTAAGCTGAAAATGAGGATAATCCCTTCACATGTAAACGTAATTAAAAGGGCCCTATTAATATGTGTTGTAAATACGTTTTTTTAATATTCCGTTAATTTGCTAACACATACATCCGTATACAATGCTCCAGGCCATATTAAAAGGCGGCATTTATTGGCATCTTCAGAAGAGTTATAAAAATATTTGCTATGTTGATTTAAAAATTGAGCTATGGAAGATAGGATACGATTAAAATATCTCAAATGCACGATGCAGAAAATGAAGGTGGCGCCATTCGCGGAGCGCTAACCCTCTCTTCGTTTATTTGACAGCATCCACCAGTGCTGCCGTTTGCTAATTTTCGAGCGAAGTGAAAACACACTAAAAGTGAAGTGTTTCGGAGTGACTTGGGACGAAAAGTGAAGAGATTATCGAAGTGACGACTTTCAAGTACAATTAGGGGTGTAGGGTTTTCGGATTATGTTATTTATCACATGATTGGTTAATCGATTATTTTTTTATCACAATAAAAATAATCTTTAACGTTTATTAATTTATAATTTATTGTGTTCCTGTGCAAATTTAGTGCTGGAATATCTTTAAAATCACAATGTCTCAAACGTTGAGGAAAGAAAATAAAAATTTATAAATTTATTAACACTAAAATACAATTCATCGATTATCGATTCACAGCACTAAAGTCATCACCAGATACACAACAACAACTTCATCACAAGATTCACTTAAATGTTTCCTTTTTGCTGCAAAATTGAAGATACATTAAAATATAATTGTTATTTTCATCAAATAATTATCCGCCCATTCATGTCAGTGCGCTTTACAACTAAACATGTGAAAATGAAAATCAAAATAACTTCATCCAAATAACTGATGGCCGATAGGAGATTTAATTCATTAGGCGTCCTTTTATTAGTTTTTTGCAAAAAGTTGCTTTGTCATACTTAATACGTAACAAGAATTATTGATTTTCGTTAAATAAATAATTTACTTCAAAGAAACTTTTATTTATTTTGGAGATAAGTCTAATTTGTTGAAAGTGAAGTAAAACGAAGTCAAATGCAGTGACGATGTGAAGGCTTCCAAAGTGAAGTGAAAAACTTCAATTGAAGTGGCAGCGGCAGCACTGGCATCCACCCATTCGCTGACGTCACACAATAATTTTGTTTAAATTCACTGTTGCCAACTTTGTGCTTACCGCACTAAATTTAGTGCGTATTCAAAACGCGAAAATTTGAGTTTGGTGCTTTGTGGCTTTCTTGGTGCTTTTGTTTTTAGTTTAAAATTTGCAAATCTTAAAAAATTGAAGTAAAATGTATAGGAATCGTAAGCAGTGTGAAACGACGGTATGAAAAAATGTATCGTAAAAGAAACAAAAAAATGGATCAAATGTATCACAAATTTTTTAATTAAGTATCAAAGTATCAAGTTAGTAAAAACTTAAAAAATGCTATTTGGTTTCATACCTTTGCTTTTTATTATTGTCAATAACACAATACAATAATATTTTGTATAGATTGTAAAGAAACTTGAATTCAAACATATGTACATACATACATACTTAAAACTATTAGCTGTCGATGATTTACTTTAATTATCAAATTATGTGATGAATTCCACGTTAAACTCGTTGGAAAGACTGCCTTCAATGTCGACTTTATTTTTACTATGAATACGTGCCATCATATTCTCAACACTTTGTAATGAAATTCTATTTCTCTTTTGATATTGGATCAATTTTAAATCTAAAAATATACGCTCTGCACCTGTAGAGCTCTTTATGAGGCAAGTAAAGAAAATTAAAAATGAATGAGTCAGCTCTTTATACATTGTTCATTTCAAGCATTTTTCTATATGCTTATTTATGGTACAATGGTACAATAAAAACAGGTAGAAGCCAATTTGACGTCAAACCTACAAAAGTCAAAGTTTTCGGAAGAGTAAAAATAAAAATGAGCGTGTGTAAGGAAAAATAAAAAATTGTATTTCACTGGTTGACGTTTTTAAGTAAATTTAAAGTTTATTTTTATTTTCTTTTGTTAAAATTTGTTAACTTGTATGTTGTTTTCTGCTTTTGATTTATGAGTTGCAGTATTGTTGGAGGGACTTTTCGCCATAAGGGTCATAGGAACAACACTTGGCATCAAACGTGCCTTTCCTGTACATCCCGGTGTATTTGTGAAATCTGCTACTTTAAAATGTTTAACGCACAGCAAGGCATTTCGCTGCAGCTCTGCCCACAGCTGCTTTCGCAACGCTCCTTACGCGAAGGACATTGAGGCACGTAAAAAAAATTAGTGGTATCTGCTTTATATTTAACACCACATAAAAAACAACGCTTCAGGTGTTGCATTTTTAACACATACACTAAGTACAAACCGCACAACACTACAAAAATTCAAATGTTAATTAAAATTTGTTATTAACGAACATTCAAAAAAAAAAAACAACGATATTGTAGGCAATAAACTAAATTTTTTGAACCCGGCTTGAGTAAAACAACTAAAAGTCGATTTCAAATCTTTATTTTAATTAAATTCAACAACCTTCGCCGCAGGTTAAAAAATTCTTAGTCTTGCTGCTGCCCCTTGCACGCGATTTTCCGAATGTCGCTTACTGCTCCCGTTCCTGTGTTTTTAGCCTCTTACCGAACGAACTCAGCCGTTCAGTTTCTCCAAACGACTCACGCTGAGCTTTATTTGTCGTAGGGCAAAGCTCTCGGTAGTGATGCTGCCACACTGTTTGTAACACTCCCCCCTGGTATATCCTGTGAATCAGGGTGTACCGAATTTAAATCAAGAACAGCAATTTTGGCAGCAGGGCGCTCATATACACCACACACAGTCTTAAGCGTTGCACTCCTAACTCTTCCATCAGGGCTCGTGCGCACTTTAACCACCTTTCCTTTTGGCCAACAGTTTCTTGGATTGTTTTGATCGACTATATAGGCAATGTCGCCAACTTCGATCGGCTTTACGTCTTCGAACCACTTACTTCTTCGTGTTATGATGGGAAGGTACTCCGCGACCCAACGCCGCCAGAAGGCGTCGGCAAGTTGCTGAGATGATCGCCAATTACGTCGTAATAAAACACCTTCAGTTACTGGTTCAGCAATTGGTTTAACGCCACTTGAGCTACCCAACAAGAAGTGGTTGGGTGTTAGCGCTTCATCGGTCTCATGATCCAATGGGATGTATGTCAGTGGACGCGAGTTGACTATCATTTCTGCTTCCATTAAGGCTGCTCGAAGAACTTCGTCGTTTGTATGAGTGTGGTGCATGATGCGATAGAGTACGTTCTTTATAGAGCGGACTAACCTCTCCCAGGCTCCACCCATGTGGGGAGACGCAGGCGGTATAAAATTCCATTTAGTTGCTGGTGTCGTAAAGGTCTTGGTCAGTTGATCACGGTCGAGTTGCGCAAATGTGTTTTTTAGTTCTCTTTCCGTGCCTTTAAGATTTGTTCCATTATCGCTCCAGATTTCTAACGGACTACCTCTCCGTGCCATGAAGTTACGTGTGGCGAGAATGCACGAGTCTGTAGATAACGAATAGGCAATTTCGATATGCACGGCTCTCGTAGTTAGACATGTGAATAGGACCCCGTACCTTTTCTCACTGCTTCTCTTCACAGTTACTAGAAGCGGGCCGAAATAATCCACTCCTGTGTAGGAAAACGGACGGCAGTGATGAGCAATAGGCGAGCCATTCTTGGAATTTGCGGCTGAGCGCTACGGTTCCTGCAAAGCTGACAATGGCGCCGGATTTGGTTTGCCACAACTCGAAGTTTTGGAATCCAATAAAGTTGACGAACTTCATTGATGACAGTCTCCAAGCAGCCATGATGGTATTTTATGTGAAACTCGTTAACAATCAAGCGTGTAATGTAATGATTGCGTGGAAGCAACACAGGATCTTTCCTGTCATTCATTTTTACTCGCCCGTCTATTCGCAATACGTTATCACCGTCAAGGTAAGGTGATAATTTATAGATATCGCTATGCTTTTCGATGCGTTTTCCCTTCAATAACGAAGCTATTGAATCAGCGAAAGCGTCGAGCTGCGCCTTTTTCCAGAGTTGCTTTTCCGCTTTACAAAGATCCTCAGAGTCGAGCTGGTTGCGCACAACATCGCTGCCTCGCACCATACTAAGCCAGCGTCGAGCACAACTTATGGCTTGCGCAGTGGCACGGAGAAGACGATTCCACGAAGAAAATCTTTCAGGATTGGCAGTGATGAGATTTGATTGTGCTAATTCGCGGTGGAGGCCCACATACTGCGGGCGAAGTTCTTCAGAAAGCTCACTCTTTACAATATTCTGCTGGGCAGGCCACTCACCCAGTTTCAACTTTAAAAATGCGGGTCCCTTTAGCCAACGGCTTTCATTACAAAAATCGGGATCTCCATGCCATTTTGTTGCTTCATCGGCAACATTGTCGGCGGTTGGTACCCAACGCCACTCGTCCACGTTAGTCAATTCCAAAATTTCGCTGACTCGAAAGGCGACGAACTGTTTGTATCGGCGATGATCAGCTCGTAGCCAGGCCAAGACGGTGCGCGAGTCGGACCAATATGTGGAAGTGGCAATTGAAATGGAGTGTGATTCTCTGACGAGCTTAGAGAGACGAGCTCCCAAGAGCGCTGCCTTCAATTCTAGCCGAGGAATAGACATCACCTTAAGTGGTGCGACTCTAGTTTTACTAGAAACCATCGCACAGTCAACAATTTTACCATCTGAGTAACGCATGTAACACACAGCTGCATAGCTTGACTCGCTAGCATCGACAAAGGTATGCAGTTCTATTTGAGGTGGGCTGTCAAACTCGGTGCGTGTGTAGTTGCGTGGAAGACGCATGTCTTCAATTCTTGGAATAAGACGAATCCATCGAAGCCACTTTGTAAACTGCTCATCAGGAATGCGTTCATCCCAGCCGCAACCTGATCTCCAGATCTCTTGTAGGATTATTTTCGCAAATATCACGTAAAATCCGATGAGTCCAAGCGGATCATAGATTGTCATCACAAGACTCAATACTTCACGTTTAGTCGGCCGACGTTGATGAACTAATAAGTGAGATTCCTTGTACTTGGCTGATACTCTAAAGGCGAAATGGTCTGTAGATGCAATCCACCACATACCTAATGCCTTTTCGGTTGGTAGTTCACTTTCGAAATTTAGGCAAAGCGCTTTGTCTGATCTTCATTCAAAGCCTTCAACACACGGTCTGAGTTTGAAAGAAAATTTCGAATATGGAACCCACCTTTGGCATGAATGTATTGAACGTTTAGTGCCAGCTGAACTGCCTCCTCTTCGGTGTCCACATTGTCTAACATGTCATCAACGTAGTGATTTTCTACTATGCATCGAGCTGCACGGGGAAATTCATCTCGAAACTCAGCTGCGTTTTTGTTTTTTACAAACTGAGCGCAGCTCGGTGAACATTTCGACCCGAACGTCATCACTGACATGACATAGGTGACCGGCTCTATAGTGTTTTGCTCGTACCACAAAAAACGCAAAAAGTTTTGATCCGCAGGACGGATCCGCACCTGATGGAACATCTCTTCTATATCGGCAGTGATGCCGACGCGCTTTTGTCGAAATTTGAATAAAACTGATAGCAGTGGCGTTGTCAGGTCAGGGCCGGCGAAGAGCATAGAGTTAAGCGAAACACCGTTTACCGTAGCAGCTGCGTCCCACACCAGGCGAACCTTGCCTGGCTTGTTAGCATTACTCACTGCAAAAACAGGCAAGTACCAATATCTATCAGCGGCAGCATCCTCGGATGTCATTCGCCTGGCATATCCTTTCCGCAGATAGTCGGCAATCTTAACTTGAAGCTGCTCAGAAAGTTTGGGGTCACGTTGCATTTTCTTAAGCAAGCATCTCGCGCGATATTGTGCCATAGGCAGGCTGTCTGGCAGCTGCATATTAGGATGCTTCCATAACAAGCTAATTTGAAAGCGATCACCTACTCGAACTGTGTGTTGCTCTAGCTGTTCTACGGCAAGCTCATCGTCTTTAGACATTAACGCTGCGGCATTGGCTACCACGCCTAAATTATCGAGACATATGTGGGATTTAACAGCCTGAAGAAGTTCCTTATGCTCAGAGCAATCACATATGTGGTAGACGTATTGAGTTGCGCCTTGAAGTGCTATTGATCCGTGACCTTTAACTGTCCACCCGAGCTTAGTTTTCTCGGCTATGGGCGCGGAGTCATCACCTAATCTGGATTTTATGGCAGAGCCAAGTGCGGCGTTGTTTAGCCCAATTAAAAGTTGCGGTTTTACGTTGCCATACGACTGTAATGGTAAGCCCCTTAAATATTTAAACTTTGATTGCAGTTTCGCCGTGTCAAGCGATTGGGTGGGCAAATCGAGCTTCTTAACAGAACGTACTGCTTTCAGAGGAAATTTTTCAGTTCCCTGTTTGGATGATATGGCAAGGTCGACGGTAACTGAATCGTCTTCGTAGCGGTGTGTATCGCCTGTCCAGCGAAGGCAAAGTGGCTGCGGTGTGCCCTTCACATTCAGCTGGTGTAGCAGTTCTTCGTCGATTAGAGTGAGAGAGGAGCCGTCGTCTATAAAGGCATATGTCGACACAATATTAGCACCCGCGTGCAAAACTACAGGTAGGACGCGGAAAAGTGTTCCCTCTTCGCCAACGTTATGAGCGTTGATATTAGCCATCTGGGTTTTCTTGTTGGCTTTACACGTTTGTTCGTTAGTGGCAACCGAAGGTTCGTTGTGCAGTAAAGGGTGGTGGTAGCGAGTACATCCATTTACGTTACATGTACCCTTCGATTTGCAGTCGGACCACAAATGCTTTTTCAAGCACCGGTGGCACAATTTAAGCTGGCGTACAGTGTCCCATTTTTGGCTACGAGACATTTCCTTGAAAGAGTCGCAATTAGACAAAGCACTACAGTTTTCCTTACAAACGATACAGCTTACCGTTTTATGATGATGGTTAACAGCCCCACGTTTTCGCACCTTCGTTTGCTCAGTTGGAACGAGCACACAGTTGGCTCCTTGTGCCAGATGAAAGAGCCAATCACTGAAAGTCTGTAGGTTGCAGTTTGACAGGCCTTGCTTGTGCACTCCCCAGTACATTGGTAGTAAACCAGGCAGCTTCGACACAAGTTTTTGCTCCAATTCAGGGTTGCTGAGGTGGCTGGCAAGCCCCGATGCTTTAATAGTTGCGCATATATTTTGCACAGCGATAGCAAAGTCTACGATGGTTTCCAGTTGACTTTCCGATGGTGTTTGTAGTTCGCAGATTTGTTGCTGCAGCACGCTAATTATTAGTTCGGGACGCCCGAATCTCATTTGCAACGTTGAAATGATTTGTGGAACACAAGAAGAATGCAGTAGCAGATTCTTAACCGCGTTGCGGGCTGGACCCTCTAATGCTTGCCGGAGCCTTATCAGGTTTTCCTCGTCGGAAAATCCACAGATCTCGGTTGTTTGATTGTAAGTGGCATAGAAGAGCGGCCATTCCGCTGGCTTGCCGTTGTATTTCGGTAGTTCTCTGGGGAGGCATTTACGAGACGCAAGTTGGTCACTCGTCAGACGTCGGTGAGGAGATACGCCATATGCAGTGCTGGTTATGGGCGCTAGTGGGGATTGGTGGTTTGGCATACCAGCTGTTTGTTGAGGAAGCCATCCTCTATTCGCTGTTGGCCGCGCTTGCAGTTGTTGTTCCAGTGATTCGATTTTGTTTAGTAATGCCTGCATTACAGTGGCCGATGGATTGCTAAGTGGAGGCTGACGATTCAATAGTCCAGGCAAAAAACCACTTTCAAGAGGCGGATGGCATACGTTCGATGCTCGTTCTCTTGGTGTAGCAACACAGCCTAAACTTAGAGTAGGCGGTATTTGTTGAGTTGACCTATCATTACGGCTAAACAGTGTCGGGACTGCAGGCGGATGGTCGTCGGGGTCATCCTCCAGACGGATTGCGTCGATCCGATCTAAAAACGCACGTTGTTCTATCACCAGAGCTTCCCTCTGCTTTAGTATCTCACTCTGTTCCTGTAGCAATTCAGATATGCGCCGAATATCTTGCGCATTGTAATTCGTCGCTTGTGAGGTCGCGGAACTTATGGAATGACTAGGGCTGCTGGGGCGATTTCTAGTCAGAGGTTGGGCGTACGTGTTAGTGGGGCCCGCTCCTCCTGATCTAGCCCCTAATGGCCACGGATGTCCCTCCAGCGTTTCTGCGATATTGTTGTTGGGTGGAACACTATATTCCACATTGTTGGAAATACAATAAGTTGCTACCGATGATAGCGTATCAACTTCTACATTATTTGCGAACTCCTTGGACTCGATACTTGGCAAGTTGTTGGTCGAGGGTGCAGAATTGGCACCGATGTTTGCCCGAGCCTGCAAATTACGATCCATTAGCGAGTTTATGGGCACGTGGCTCGAAGCTGCAAGATTAGCAGCGATATTCGCGTCGGCTATTGTATGTTGCGAAGACAAGTCCTCCGACATAACCGATATTACAATACGACGATCAGGAGCCAATAAGAATTTTTTAAGTTTTTGTAGGCAATAAACTAAATTTTTTGAACCCGGCTTGAGTAAAACAACTAAAAGTCGATTTCAAATCTTTATTTTAATTAAATTCAACAACCTTCGCCGCAGGTTAAAAAATTCTTAGTCTTGCTGCTGCCCCTTGCACGCGATTTTCCGAATGTGTCTTACTGCTCCCGTTCCTGTGTTTTTAGCCTCTTAGCGAACGAACTCAGCCGTTCAGTTTCTCCCCTTTGTCGCTTATCATATCGATGGCCAATCAGCAAACGACTCACGCTGAGCTTTATTTGTCGTAGGGCAAAGCTCTCGGTAGTGATGCTGCCAGACTGTTTGTAACAGATATGACATTCAAAGCGTAACGAAATATAGGAAATAAAATAAAATCAAGTTTACGTTTAAAGTTTGGTTCTCATGAGAGCAACGTCATTTTGGCTTCTACCTGTATTTATGTGCCTTGATTTGACCCCAAAACGTTTCAGTATTTTCGATCACAAGTTAAAAGCTGCCACCGCATACATACATAAATATATTCTCTTTAACATGTATCAAAATTTGTACTACGCGAAAAATTTAAGTATCTCGCGAAATGAGCGAAAAAATAAAGAATCTTCCGAAAATTTGCGCAAACACGTATCACTTTTGAATTATGTATATGGTTCAAAACGGCAACACTGATCGTAATTTAAAAGCTGCCACCGCATACATACATTAATATTTTCTCTTTAACATGTATCAAAATGTGTACTACGCGAAAAATTTAAGTATCTCGCGAAATGAGCGAAAAAATAAAGTATCTTCCGAAAATTTGCGCAAACTCGTATCACTTTTGAATTATGTACATGGATCAAAACGGCAACACTGATCGTAAGTGAATATGCGGCAGCACCTTCATTCAGCCAGAAGAAATTTACCGTCGAGTAAGGAACATTGATTTGTATTTATTTGAGTCGGCATTAGGGATGTGAAAATAACCTTTAGTATCGATACTTATACTTGGAAGTATTTTTCTGAAAAGGCATCGATACCAACCAAAAAGTATCGAGTATGTACTTTTATTTACTCATTTTCCGCCAGCTAGCTTGCTACTTTTACTCAAAAATTTTAGGTTGACCGTGAAGATCCAATTAAAACATGTCCAAAATGATGTCTCTCTATCCAAACGATTTAACAATCGTCAAGCAAACAAATAATAAAAAGACAAATACATTTGTATTAAAGATTTGTTTACGAACTGTTTCTACAAGCTTAACTTTCAGTTGAAGCAACACCACCAAGAAAATGAAATTCAAATGAAATGAGGTATGGCAAACCACAATAGCAACGGTAAATTTTGTTTGCTCTCTGTCCCCTTTCAGACACTTCAAGTCTTGAAAGCAATTTTTTTCGCATTCTCTTTTGTGTTTTCTATTTGCTTCCACACGCGTTAACTTTAATTGAATTCAAGTCCTTGGTTCTTTAAATGGGAAGCAACGAAAAGATCAAAAGAGACAAGAAAACTTGAAACGAATTGACGGTACGGAATCTGTACTCTTCCCCTCTCTTCTCACCTCCTTCGCCTACGAACGAGCAGACTTGAAAGCAAGACTTGACGTG